TCAATTCTAATAACAGTCTTATAGTTCTCCAGAAAGTTTGAAATCAGAGCCTAATTTGTCAGTGACTCTAGAGTCTTTGTATCCAGCTCCCTTGACCCCAGGATATGGTGAGTGCTGCTGCCAGGGGCTGCAATGCTTGGGATGGCATTGCTCCCCACTAGCCACCTTCCCCATCAGGCTTTCCTAGCCTTTCCAGAACCAGTGAAATTTCACCCAGTGGTGGACAGTCACTGGCTGGGGGCAGTTACTTTACCCAAATTCATTGTAATTCCCCTGAATGCAACAATTCAAACATTGCTGAAACTTCACTCCTAGCTACAGAGGCACTTTTTTTTCCCCTAGGAGAGTTGCCCTTGGGTGAAGGTGGAATTACCATACTGAACTTCCTTTTTGCTCAGCTAGTAAAACTCAGGAACCATCTTTTAAAGGAACCATGCATTAATTTGCCACTAGCAATCAGAATCTGTGTGGCTCTGGGATCTGTTTCATTTCAGCTTTTACAGTCTCAGTCCTTGAATACCAAATAGCAAAAAAATCTTTGTCCCAAACACCTTCTCAGCAGTCTGGGGGACCCCCTTAGTCTCCTACTTTCCCCAAACTGCAGGATGGAACATCAATGTCAGGAACATTGGTTTATCAGCTGCTATGGTGTCCTCAGAGCTGACATTTCTTTCTCTATTCCACACACTGCACCAAGCATTCAGGCAGCCATTGAGCTTCATTTGGTAAGTGAGGGTACAATTCTTCCTTCTTAATTATTTGAAGTTGCATCTTAAGACTGCCCTGAGCTCTCTCAATGATGCCTTGTCCTTGATAGTCTTTTAGTAGCGCAATGTTTTCCCTCTCTTGCATCTCAGGCACAACCCAAGTTTCTTATTTGCCCCTAAGATTTTTCCATACCCAAAGGAACTTCCCAATGTTCTAACAGCTCTCCCTTGCTGTGAACCCTAATTTCTAAAGGGTCTCAAAGTGGCCTGATAAGCAGCATTAGCATTTTAATTACCTCCTGACAGGCAAGCTTTGGTAATCTGTTTTCAATTCCCAAGAGGTAAGTCTTCTAAGCTTTCTAACAAAGCTTGTGAAAAAAACAGCATTTTGGGCTGTATAGGCAGCAAGTCATTTTTTACTCCTTAAGTTGTTTAAAAGGAATTGGAACATGCACTTGCATGATATTTCTCTGGGTGTTTTGTTGCTCAACTACTGGGAACATTGGAAAGCCTTGCACCTCTTCCCTTCTATAACTGCCTCCCAAATACTGTCCTAAAGAGGAGACACAGTACTAGCAGGGAGGGTTGGCCATGTTACAGGAGGTTTTTGTGTCAGAAAAATTATGGGAGACTTTTTCATTCTGATAGATGACCCCTGAGGTGAGTCTAATTTTGCCCCTACAGAAGGAAGAGAGACCTGGGAAGGAGAGACCTGAAGAGCTTCCAGTTTTTGAGAAACAGACATTACTAAGTTTCTCTAACCTAGCTCTTTAGTTCCTCCCTTGTCTCATACCAAGACTTCTGTTCCTTAAACTCAGCTTCATGGCCAAGAGGGAACTGACCCTGACCCTGATTGAATGAAGTTGTAAAAGTATTCTCATCTAGCAGCAGTTCCAGTAGAGTGGAAGGTTTTGTTCTGCTCATGTCCACCTCAGGGAAAATTCCCTTGTGCTGCTCAGGGCTTAGATCTATGCTGTCCTGAATTAATGCCCACAGGCCAAAAGCTTCTATGGGAATTTTTTCAAGTCCATGTTCCTCATAATATTTATGCATTTCAACTCTGATTCTCCCTCAGGAGTCTGTGTCCAGAGTTCCATAGTTGGAAACCAAGGACACAACTCCTCTACAAACTCCAAGAACCTCTGTACTTATTGCAGCTCTACCTTAATTCTCCTAGTTTTCAAATTTCTACAAGTGGATATACAAACATCTGCTTACTGTTTCCCTGCCCCATAGCAGCTTTACTTTCTCAGAGTGCTAAATCCACAGTGGCTGCTTGTTCTTGGACACTGTTTTCAGGCCCAGCACTAGGGAAATTCTACTCTTACCCTAAGTTTCTTCCTACACAATATTCCTATACTTAACCCTATATTTTTTACCTAATTTGATAGATAGAAATTAAGAGAGAGAGAGAGAAAAAGACAAACCTAGACAGAGAGATGCTTGCTGTAGCCTAATTTTTCTATATACAGTTTTTGCTCCCAAAGAATAAAATACCACTACCTTAACCTTCATACAAAACTGGACATGTCCAATTGCTTCCACGGGGTTGTCCCACTCTCACTTAACTTTCTCTGCACCCAAGTCCCTAGTTCTGGTGCCATCTGTGGGTCTCTACAGGAGTGATCAGAGCATGGTGGGGAGTAAATAAAAGAATGTCAGTGAT